ATAAAAAATGCGGAGACAAAGAAACAGGACAAAACTGTCAGTGGAGGATATTGAGTTTAGAACCACACTTTTAAGTTCTCTCAAAAACTGTCTAGAAGCCGCTGATAAAGTTATTGAGATCCTCAAGAAATCTAATGAGACCCTCGATGTTGTGATAAAGAACCAACTAGAAATTAAGCATACATGGACTGAAATAACGAATATTATACAGACTCTCAATAGCAGACCAGAGGAGCGCAAGAATCAAGGCAAAGATTTGAAATGCGAAGAAGCAAAAAACACCCAACCGGAAAAGCAAAATGAAAAAAGAATCTGAAAATACGAAGATAGTGTAAGGAGCCTCTGGGACAGCTTCAAGCGTACTAACATCAGAATTATAGGGGTGCCAGAAGATGAGAGAGACCAAGATATTGAAAACCTATTTGAAGAAATAATGACAGAAAACTTCCCCTACCTGGTGAAAGAAATAGACTTACAGGTCCAGGAAGCGCAGAGAACCCCAAACAAAAGGAATCCAAAGAGGACCACACCAAGACACATCATAATTAAAATGCCAAGAGCAAAAGACAGAGAGAGAATCTTAAAAGCAGCAAGAGAAAGAAACTCAGTTACCTACAAGGGAATACCCATACGACTGTCAGCTGATTTCTCAACAGAAACTTTGCAGGCCAGAAGGGAATGGCAAGAAATATTCAAAGTGATGAATACCAAGAACCTACAACCAAGATTACTTTATCCAGCAAAGCTATCATTCAGAATTAAAGGTCAGATAAAGAGCTTCACAGATAAGGAAAAGCTAAAGGAGTTCATCACCACCAAACCAGTATTATATGAAATGCTGAAAGGTATCCTTTAAGAAGAGGAAGAAGAAGAAAAAGGTAAAGCTACAAATTATGAACAACAAATATGCATCTATCAACAAGTGAATCTAAGAATCAAGTGAATAAATAATCTGATGAACAGAATGAACTGGTGATTATAATAGAATCAGGGACATAGAAAGGGAATGGACTATTCTTGGGGGGGAAAGGGGTGTGGGAGATGCGGGAAGAGACTGGACAAAAATCGTGCACCTATGGATGAGGACAGTGGGTGGGGAGTTAGGGTGGAGGGTGGGGCGGGAACTGGGAGGAGGGGAGTTATGGGGGGAAAAAAGAGGAACAAATGTAATAATCTGAACAATAAAGATTTAATTAAAATAAATAAATAAATAAATAAATAAACAAAAAAAACCCAATAATACATCCTGACAGTTGAAGAGCCCAGACCATAATTTCCCTGTGCTGGTGCCGTGACAGCAGCTTCACTTCTAGCATAAATAAATGCAGGGCTCAGAGGGACATAGATGGCCAGTCACAAGAAAGAACAGTTTTCTTTCAATTGGTAAATTTAAAAACACCTGTATTTTTGCTACAGAAAATTCTGCCACTAGAGTGTATCGAACTCAAAGATACATTTTTGTCTAATTGACTTAAATAAAATAACTATAGCCCTTAATATGGTATTTTAATTACTGTTTTCTTGGTAACAAATGTAATTAATGACTAAACAATAATTTGTGATGTTTATGAAAACTAATTCTCAGACATTTAAGTAGTCCCATATTTATGGACGACTTAGAGTAGAAATAATTCTTTTTATTGAGGCATACCTGACATAACATTACATTAGTTTTAGGTGTTCAACATAATAATTTGGTATTTGTATATACTGGGAAATTGCCACCACAATAAGTCTAGTTAACATCTGTTTTTGCTTTTTGTGATAAGGACTATGTTAGAAATTACTGATACCATATTAAATTTGATAATTCAGAAGTTTTATATGCCACATATAGCTTTCAATCTCAAATTACTTCATAGATTAGTAATATATCTCACAGGTAGGTTTTCCAAACAATATTTCATATTTTCCTAAATGTGGAATTAATTTCAATGACATTATTTCTGTAGTAACTTGCTACCTGAAAAAGATTATTTTATTTAGAAAATTTGCCTAAACCAAATATGGATTTGGAGAGCAGTAAAGTATAGAACTTGGTGATTATTTGGAGGGGTGGGATGGAAGAAACAGGAATTCACAGATTCCAGCTTGAGAAACAGCATGGTTAGTGACACCATTTACTGAGATGGAGGAGGTTTGAGAGCAAATAGGTTTGTGTGTGTGTTGGAGGAAGAAGGTAATGAATGCAGTTTTAGTTAAATAGATTAACATGCATAATCTTGACATTCCGAAGGCTTTGCTGGCAACAAATACATCAATGCAGAAAGCAGTCTTTGAAAGAATTATGGGCAACAGCAAGTACCACATAAAGAGAAAGATGATCCAGTCTTGTTGGTGAAATATAGCACAGAGGCTTCTTTGACCTACTCACAGGAGAAGTGTGTTATAACCTTGGGCCTGGCAGCTCCTGTTCATGGAAGACAAACTGGGGACTCGGGATGAAGCGTTTGGCTGTAGTGTTGTGCCGGGGTCCAACCCCAGCGGGGCCAGGGGTCCCCAAAGGTGTGGACGGAGTCGGCGAAGAAGGAAGGACACGGAGACAGTGTTCAGTTGATCAGCAGCCTAGCCAGGATCTCCAGCCAGGATCTCCACCCAAGTTCTGGTCTGGATCTCCAGAGAGGTTCTGGTTAGGATCTCCAGCCAGGTTCTGTGTCCATGTTGTCTTGCTAGGTTCTCCAGCCAGGTTCTGTAGCCATGTTCCCTCACTAGGTTCTCCAGCCAGGTTCTGTCCAGGTTCTCCAGTCAGGTTCAGTCAACAGGTTCTAGTCAGGTTCTCTTGCCAATTTCTGTAGTCAGGTTCATTCCAGGATCTTTTGCCATGTTCTCTCCCTAGGTTCTGTCTCTAGGTTCTGAGGCCAGTTTCTGTCCAGGATCTTTTGCCATGTTCTCTCCAGCGAAGTTCTTCTGTCTCTAGAGAACGTTCTGTGTAGGTTCTGTGCCTAGGTTCTGTCTCTCTTGGTTCCGTATACTAAGTTCTGTGTCTTGCTGTCTTATTACATCTGTATTTATACCAGTTGATTCAATCCTATCAATCTCTATTACAAAGGTTAGGGAGTTTCTTATCTCCATTCCAGGGAGTAAAGATTATGTAGCTTAAGCATGATTGTTCGTAGTTAAAGTGATTAATTACCCACCTGGCACTAGTTAAGAGGTTTTATTCCCTCCCTAACTTCAGGGGAAAATCCCTACCTGGGGAAACAACCTTTCTCAGAGACCTTGGTTAAAACACATAGTGCCAAGAAGGTGAGCAAACATATTGAGAACAGTATGCCATATATGCCAGGTCCCTTGAAACAGCAAGTATGGACCGGCTCCCGGCAGTGTTGGGTAGGCTCTTCTGGTTCAGAAGTCAGCTCAAGTAACCAGGAGCAAAGAGGGTGAAGGCTCAAGAAAGGAGATAATTCTGAAGATACACGATAGGGGAATAAAAAAGCATCTCAAAGTTCACAGGTGTTGGATTTGAAAACCCATAGGAACCATCCCAACAGCTTTGGGCAGATTCTCTTCTTGAGCTTGTTCTTAGCATCTTTGCTCCTCTCATAACCCAACTCCACCTTATAGCTCCTATTATTGCATCCTTTCAGTTTCTGTTCCTGCAGCTGACTCACAGGTTCTCAGTATTTTCTAGTTTACAAAGGCCTTGAACTAGCTATCTGCCTCAGTTATTATTTTTTGATACTAATGTTCAGGGTCATCAGGAAGCCTACTGACAGGGTACCCTGAATAAAGCGTCCACAGCTGTGACCTGAAGTTGGTCACAAAAAAGGAGAGACACATAGAAATAAAACGGTTCCCTCCTGTGGTGTTTTTAGCAGGGACAGTTTCCTCAGAATTGAATAGGGTTGTGGCAAGCACCATGATTCTTCAATATGGTGTTAAGGTAAGGCTCTTCATATCCAGACTGCCAGACTTTCTGATGATGTGGAGTCCCCTGTGTGAGCTCTGGGTCCATGAAAGTCTGGGGGAATGTATACCTATTGAATATCTATCGCCATTAATATAATGAGGAGACAAAAACAGCCTCATTAGCAATGATGTTAATCCCCTGGTTTCACAGAAATTAAGCCATAGCATTTCTGAAAAAATAAAAAGCAGGCAAATCAACAGATTGAACCCATGTTCCCCTGCATCCTCTCGGGAGCCCAAGGACCTGAAGATAAAGACCACTTGTCTGCCTCAAAGCCACTGCTCTCCAAGGGCGTCCGGCAGCCTCTGCATCAAGCGCTCTTCTGAGCTGACCAGCCTTTCTCCGGCCTTCAGTGACAACTTCTGTAGAGTTCAGGCACTAATTTTTTGGTTCTGACTGCCCCAGTCCATGTTTTGTATGGATTATGACCCATTTCTGCATCCAGGCACCCACCTCAACACGATCCAACAAAACTTGAGTCACCTAAAAGTCTAACTCTGTAAGATTTGTCCACATACATTTCCAACATGGCATATGATTACTCTCAAATATGTAAAAGAGCATGTGATATTTAAATTTAACCCCAACTAGTAAGGAATAAAAAAATGAATCAGAAATAACTATTTATTTAGAGTTTACTGTTTATACTGGGTACTTCATATATTATTTCATTTCATATTTACGACTTACCCTACGAGGTACCATTATCTCCATTTTACACTGAAAGGAATCAAGACACAGAGCAATTAGGTGGCTTCCTCGAGGTCCCCAGATAGGTGCAGGGGCTAGGTTTTAACTCAGACTGTCTGACTCCAAAGCCCAGTCTTTCCACTTCACAATGCTGCTCCCCTAGAGTGGGTTCAATGGGTGAGAAGAGTTAAGAAATACTGAGTCGTTCATCTTTATAAAAGCGAGCTGAATAACATTTTAGCTTCATTTTCGGAGTGGCCCAGCAAGGGAGCACTTGGTCAAGCATGACAGACATAACCTAGGGTGTACAGGGCACCGTGAAGAACATTTATAAACACACAGTCACACAAACACACACAATGTTAGGAATCATTTAAAAAATCAGATCTTGGCTCAAAGAGATAATTAATAGTTAACCTTTATTGTTTATTAAAAATGAACTTTCTAAAATATTAGTAAATTTTGTTTTAAGCTCTGTTTTGAAGTGTTGATACCAGTGAAGTAACATTTTTCTTCTTTGAATTTTTTCTTGTGAAGTCATAGTTTTCTCTTTTTCTAGAACAGCAGGAAGTTCCGTCCAGTTCTCAATAAAGATAAAGGGAGCGCCCATGGACTTGAGTAACTGCAGAGGAGCATTCTGGGAAACAGATGTATTTCCACAGCTGCCAGCTGTCATGACATCTTCCACCACAGGAACGGAGCCATAGGAGCAAGCCTCATATATTCTATAACATTCCGTGTTTACTCCAACTGGGCACAATGTGAGGTCGCTCTGAAGCAAAGCTTCTTGATAATTCTTAAGGCTTTCATTTGTTTCCTGAGGCTGCCACCTGGAAAATCAGAAAAACAGCTGTAGTTTTCACTTTACCAAGCATATCTTTTGTGGAAAAAAAACAAAACGGTTTTACTTTAAAAAAAAAAAGTTTTTATTGATTTTTATAGAGAGGAAGGGAGAGGGATACAGAGATAAAAACAACGATGAGAGAGAAACATCATTGATAGGCTGCCTCCTGCATACCCCTACTGGGGATCGAGCCCACAACCCGGGCATGTGCCCTGATCTGAAATAGAACCAGTGACCTCTAGGTTCACTCATGCACACCAACTGCGTGATTTTACCTTTTAATGTCAGTTACAGGCAATGGTAAACTATTATAGAGATGACAGGCAGAAAAGATAAATAAAATCTTGCCTAAATAGATTTCTTGAAAATATTTAAGAATTTGAAAAGTTTACAGCTACACATTTTTAAAATCCAGTGGTCACCATAAAATTTCTGAATGAATGTTAATTCAGCCAATATTTTCTGACTACCAAGTTCTTCTCTCTACCTCACCCTCCTAATTCCTGCCCCTTGGAGCTTATAATCTAGATCTAGTGATAGAGACAGGTAGCAACCAAGTCAAGTCAGTGAACTACTTAGAAGGTATTACTAGTAAGTGCTGTGAGGAAAAATGAAGCAGAAGGAGGGAGGGGTTTCCGAGGGGGCAGTGTTGTGTTTTGAAATAGGTGATCAGGAGCATGTCTCATTACAGGGGCACCTGAGCACAGAGCTGGAGGTGAAGGAGCAAAACGTGAAAATATCTGGGGGAGAACAGAGAGCAAAGAAAGTATAAAGGCCACGAGACAGCACGTGTGTGGCATGTTCAATGAACACAAGGAAGCCAGGGTGGCTCTGGGGGAAGGATGAGGTCAGAGAATCCTGTCCTGCAGGTATGGATCACAGGGGTGACTGACCTGACCTGTGTGGTATCAGAATCAATCTGGCTGTTGTATTAAGAATGGACTACCCAGGGGCAAGGGTAGAAGCTGAGAGGCCAGTTCAAAAGCTAGATGTTCTCTCCTGACTGTTCCTATGCTCTCAGTAAAATGAGCAATGGGGTCAGAAGGTATGTGTAGTTTGGCAGAGAGAACAAGTTATGAAACATTCTCTTGGAGAGTGGAAGAATACAGAGACAAGGGAAATGGATGATTGTTGGACACTTGAGGGTCAGGGCATGTATTAAAAGTGAGATTGATTGGCAGCTTCCTCCAAGTGTTTGGTTGCATGGGTATAGGTTTGGTGCAGGCAAGAAAGCTAGATTTAACCAGAGTTAGGGTTTGCTAAATTAAGAAACAATCATAGTCAACATCTAACCATGACTGACTATGACATTTAAGTGGGGTAAAGAAGAAAGTAAAGGTATGAGGTGAGCAAAGGACAATGAAAAGGGAGTAGGAACAATGGGTTGTAAGTCCCAGCTAAACTGTAGGAGATTATTACAGAGAATGAGCTGGCCTGACAGGGTGGTTACCGAGAGAGATGCTGGAACTTGAGACCATGGAGAAGAAGCGGTATGTGTAGGATAAGGTTTAGGAAAGGACCTTGATAGTAAATAGCTGAGGTCACATGGAGACCAGATCATGGAGGAGAGGAGGTAAAGGAACTGCAAGACCAAGGTGATGGAAGGACCATCTATGTAGATTTGGGAGTCACCAAAAGTGAGACTGGTGTAATGTCAGAGAGAGTGTGCCAGGAACTAAACTCTTCAAAGAATTAAGGAGATAAACCCAAAAGTCAGAATATGACATCAAAGAGTAAAAGTAATGGATGGTTTTGTCTGCTGGCATGAGATTCAAAATTGGAGGTTTTAAGGAGGGAAAGGGGAGAACGGTCTGGAAGCAGCAATGGGAAGCAAGGAGGACAGCTACTTGACCTCCTGGCCCAATGGTATGAGAAGAATTACAAGAATAATTTTATTCCCACCATAAACTTTGCCATTATACACTACCCTCACTCATTCCATTCCAGGAACACAGTCCCTTGTTCCTCAACCATGGTAAGCACGGTTCCGCCTTAGGCCCTTCACATTTGCCCTCCCTTGGCCTGAACTACTCTTCTCCCAAACAGACACAAGGCTCATCCTGCACCTTCTTCATGGCTGAGCTTAAATGTAACCTTCTAGCTAGTGCTTTCTTTGGCCACTCTAAACCAGCAAATTCTCCACTCCTGATCCCTCATCCTCTCTACATTGCGTCTCTGCTCAACTTTTTTTTAACATGGCATTTCTCATCTTTTGACACAAAATATATTTTATTGGTTTGTGTCCTCCAATAAGCATCTAAGAGGGCACTTATGACTATTTTGTTCACTGCTGTATCCCTCATGGCTAAAACAGTTGCCTGATAAATGCTTGTTGACTGAATATATATATTATGGTTACACAAATAATGGAGTTAGGAGTTATGCTTTCTAGAAGAGAGTATCTGCTACAATGAATGCATTTCTAGATCTAGAAGGACATTCATTCTCTGGTGACTCTGCTTCATACACGCAAACTCTATTTGATCTTTTAAAAACAAAATGAGTAATTCCAAAATGTCTTCTTTCACTCCAGAACACCTGTTTCACAATTACCAGGTAAAACAATGGAAGAAAGTCAATCCTATTAAATCAATGTGTACTTCCATCCATCCACTGCCCCTTTATCCTGGCCTACTCTACACAAGGTCCTGTGTTAGATCTGGGGATCTGAAGAACAGTCCTTAGGTGTTGTCAGGTTCCTGAGGAGGGAGGGTGCTCCAGGCCAATACTGGAACACTGAGCTGGTCTACAGAACACCTCAGGGATGACGTAAGACCTTATTGGCACATTCCCTATTCCCTGTGTGTCAAGTCTGACTAACAAATATGATTGAGGAAACCCAAACAATTGACATTGCATATGACAGTTACTAGTTTTCTTCAAGATGAACTATAGCTATAAGAGATTCTCCCTGTTTTAAACGTATACAACCCAAGTTCTTCATAGCTTCAATTACTGATCTATCTCCTAGGAAAGGACAAATATAAGTGGAGTTAACACTGTCTCATTGGAGAACCTGTGCTGCCACATAAAGCAAATCTCAGACAGGAGAACAACATGCATGAATCAAGTAAACAGAACTTACTGTTCTCTTACTGAGACCCAACAGAGCTTATCAATTCCACCTTGTTTCAAAATGTTCATGAGTGCTTGTCTGGATGAATTTTCATAAATAGTTCCTAGGAAATTACATAAGTAGGGCCTTTCATTATACAGCATTGACCAACTTGCCTCCACCACAGGGAAATTCCTGTACCTATAAAAACAAGTACACGTGAGTTAACAATATATGACAACAGAAATGGCACAATTCCCATAACCCACATCTTAGCATGATATAGAAAGAAGAGATTTAGAATGCCTTTCTAAACCCACAATGTAATTTTCCATGCTTACTTTTGAAAAGTCCTTAAATCTACTGACTTAAAAAAAAAGATTCTCACAATGACAACTTTTACAAAATTGCAATAGAGACTGTGGGCCAAAGGGCTTTGTTTTTTATATTCTTCAACTTCTATTACACATCTGTAGCTGTAAGGCAGGTTGAATTCAAGATCTTATAAGTATAAATAATCTTTTATATTCATAATGATCATGATTTAATGAGTGCTTTAGCCAAGTGATAGCATACATATTGCTAAAGCAAAGAGCTCCCAGTTCGAAAGCTGTAGGTAGATTAAAAACAAAACGAAACAAAACAAAAAACATACAAAAAAGACGTGTGCACCATACAGGAGAGACCTATTGCAATTGGCCCATGTTTTTAAAAAAAATATATTTTATTGACTTTTTACAGAGAGGAAGGGAGAGGGATAGAGAGTTAGAAACATCGATGAGTGAGAAACATTGAACAGCTGCCTCCTGCACACACCCTACTGGGGCTGTGCCCACAACCAAGGTACATGCCCTTGACCAGAATAGAACCTGGGACCCTTCAGTCCACAGGCCAACGACGCTCTATCCACTGAGCCAAACTGGTTAGGGCCAATTGGCCCATTTTTATGGGCATTTGGAAGTAACAGAAATCAAATTGTGTGCCTGAAATATAACCTTCATGTTAGAGCAAAGCTTTATATAACAGTCTACAACAGGTTTCTCAACCTCAGCATTTCTGCCATTTGGGGCCAGACAATTATGGTATTTGTCGCGGAAGCTGTCTTCTACATTGTAGGATACATCCCTGGCCTCTCTCTGTTCACCAGATGTCAGTATCACCTCTCTTCCCTCCCCTGTAACCACCCAAAAGATTTCCAGACATTGTCAAATGTCTCCTGGGGTGGTGGGTAGGGGGTAAAACTGCCCCTGGTTGAGAACCACTGATTTAAAACAGAGATACTGGCCTCGTTCAACATTACCAGAACTACAGAGATTCCATTCCATACTGTATTAATAAGTTAGGTAGTATTACTGTGAAAAAGTAATATTTTTTGGCTTCAAAACATTTTATAAATATAGGCTCTACTTAAGGGATAGATTTTTCGGATCCATCCCTTGGCTATACTTAATTTAACCTTTTTGTCTGATCCTACCCCAAATCTATTGAATCAGAATGCTGTAGTGGTAAGCCAGGGATTCTGCCTTATTAATGTGCTTCTCTGGTGATATTCATGTACCAACTAGGCAGCAGACTAAGGCCATATCTTGTATAATAAATATTTGATTCAGATGTCATGTTAGTGAACTTTTTCATAATTCATCCATTCAACAATGATTTACTAAGTGCCTACTTTGTGCAGGCACTGTTTTAGGCTCTGCAGATAAAGTAGTGAAAAAAAAAAGACAAAAATCCCCGTCACTGGGAAGTTTATGTAAAGTAGCAACTCATCTTAAAGCCAACTTACTTTTAATAAAAAACCCCTCTATTAACAGAAAGATAAAAAATAAGTGGTTTTCATGTTGTTGTTTTTTAATTGATTTCAGAGAGAGAGAAAGGGAGAGGGCGAGAGGGATAGAAACATTAATGAGAATCATTGATTGGCTGCCTCCTGCATGCCCCCTACTGGGGATCAACCCAACAACCTGCTCATGTGCCCTGACCAGGAATCGAACTGTGACCTCCTGGCTCATGGGACAACTCTCAACCCTGAGCCACAGGGGCTGGGCAAGTTTTCCATTTTAAAGAGTTTATATATGACATACTGAGAAACCTTAGCTATTAATTAATTCTTCTTTTTAATAGAAATGTGTGCAACCAGTCTTAGTGGCAGATCTGAGCATATTATGGTATAATGCTTCCAAGCCCAAGGGTACAGTGTGCTCCTGATTTAATATTACCTTTAAAGAAAAGTAGGGTTTTTTTGAAAAAAAACTGTTAATTATAGAGATTCTACAATAATGGCTTTAATGGGATCTGTTTGTCTGCCATCCTCTGCTAAACCTCTCTTTAAGGAACTGTTGATAAACTTAATTCATCCCATGCCTTGTGATTTTGAAACACAAAAATGTAATTCATCTGCCTTCCTCATAAAAGGTGAAAATACTCTAAAGACATTATTATCGTTGCTGAAGCAGGAGACCAAACCATATTTTTTCCCATGGAAAAGATTGTACCTCGCCTCAATGATCTCAAAAGAACTATATTTATTGCAAATCTAAAACACAATCGCCCTGGTTCTGAAATTCAGGTCTTAGTCTAGAAACATGCCTAATATTTTGTACTTACGTTGCTACTCCTAAAGGCCACTGAAAAACATCCATGTCATTAATCCAAGGGCTGTCATATATGATGAAAAGCAGCTCCACAAAGCCTCCATTTCTTTTGAGGAACTGGTTGATCCATTCATTGTTACAATGTTCATTTCCAAGCAAAACAACAGCAACATGCTGGAGTTTTTGAGTTTGTACTAAATTTTGTACATAAAGTAACCACTGGGTGGCATAAAAGACCTTTGCCTTTTCTCTTCCATTTAAAATAAGTACCACATTATTCACATCAACTGAGAAGTACCCTGGGACTACGGCTGGACCAGTGATGAAGCTGTAACAACAAAACAAGACACAAAGAAAAAAGAGAACCAGAAATTTTAAATCATTTTATATAAAATCTACAAGTTGAATGTTCCTATAAAAGCTTGCACTTACTGTGATGAGTAATGAGCTCACTACCTTCTTATAATAGCAATATCTGGAAATTCTAGAAAAACAGAATCAGACATATTTTATTCTATCATGATCTTTGGAAATAAGTTCAACTTTTCTGTAAGTGACAGATGCTTATTTAAAATATTAGAATTGAATATTGATATCAAGTTAGCATCTGGTTTTTGTCATATCAAATGAATAGAACTTTCTATATATATTATGATAATGCCTGCACATGGAAATTACAGGATTTAGAAGGGAGTCTTCTGGGGATAAGCAAAGGCCATGATGAGCAGAAGTAAGATTCCTCCTTAGAAATGAAAACTAAAGTTGCCTGAAGATTTCAAACCATAAATCAGCATATGATGGATATGAGTAGAGACAGGCAAAGTTCCTTCAAGAGACAGAATGGATCTCAGGCTGACTTGTAACTTACTTGAATATATTAATATAAAGAATATATCAATAAGGTATTTGTGGTGAGATACATGATGGAGAAATAGTAGACAGTAATGGAAGCACAGAAAAGGTAGAACTGAAAGGGAGGGAGATGCTGCAGTATTCAAGACTTCTATAGTGATTATTATGTGCCAGAGACTATACATCTTTTTTTAAAAATATATTTTTTATTGATCTCAGAGAGGATGGGAGGAGAGAGACAGAAATGATGAGAGTGAACCATTGATTGGCTGCCTCCTGCACGCCCCTACTGGGGATGGAGCCCACAACCCGGGCATGTGCCGTTGACTGGAATCGAACCTGGGACCCTTTAGTCCACAGGTTGACACTCTATCCACTGAGCCAAACCGGCTGGGGCGACTATACATCTTTTAATGCATTTAATCTTCATAGCAATCTGGTGAAGTAGAAACTACTATTTGCCTTATTTTAAACATAAAGAAATCCAGGCACAGAGAGGAGAAGAAACCTGCCCAATGTCAGATAGCTAATAATAGGTAAAGCTGGAATTTGAACTGAGATATTTTGGCTGCAAAGTCTATACACTTACAACTCAATCACACGGCTCCTCTGACCAGAGGTGACAGGGCTTCATGAGGCTGACTCAGTTCAGTGTGCCCTACACGTATTCATGTATTCATATGCTGAGACAGACTATGTTACTGATGATTCACTGGTGAATAATGAGTCACTTATCCCTTCTGAAACACATACAGTTTGGAAGTGATACCACTGTAATTAGTCTAGTTATTAATAATGGGAAAGGAGCAAAGGGAAGGCCAAATGTTCTAGGCATGTCATTTTGGCAGCTTCACTATGAAGCTACAACTTTACACTTCTCAGGGGTCCAGCAAAGGGAAGAATAGACACATGCCCAGTAAAGCTGGGGGACTAGCAAAGATGCTTACTGTCACACTGGGAACAGAGGTCATTGGCCAGAGTGGGCGTGGCCACTGCAAGCACAGGAAGATCTGGGATGCTTAATTCCCTGAAGGAGGAAGTTCTCTCTCTTGGTTCCTCTTGTGCTCTTGGTTGATCCTGGCTTGTGAGGCTTTCACTCCTGCTTCCTCCATTCGCCCACATGGCCCATGGCCTTGTGAACCCTCACAAACAATGGACTAATGAACTGGAACTAGCCTGATGCTGCAGTGAACCCGGCTACAACATGGAATGGAAACTCTGGATACTGGCTTTGCTTTTAGCTCTACTGAAACCCCAGCTGCACCTCTTCTACAACTGGACTAAGGGAAATGGGAATTTGGGAACCCAGGAATGCAATTTCACGCAAATAAAAATCACTCATCTTCCTGTGCGAGTCTCAGAAAACTCTTTTTCTTGAGATAGCGTAAGGACTCCACCTCCAGCATCCAGTGGGGAATGGGATACCCTAATAACAGAAGTACGCACATTGTTAAATCCCATATTTTGATTCCATATTTAATTGGGTATCAACTGTAGCTTGCCTATATGGAAAGAATGTGCTGGTCAAATCAATACGAGCATGTGGGCTGGCAGTTCTAGTTCCTGTCTGAGTTACTTGGTATCTTGGATTACAATTTTTGGGCCTATGAGCTGATTAGAATCAGCATTCATGAGCCTGATCAACCCTGGAACACTAATGATATCCTTTCTACTTCTGCCTCAGAATTGTTGTGAGGCTAAAAGTAAATGACATAAGCTCTTTGTAAAGGAAAAGATTTATTTAAACAAACTATATTACACATATTTACAAGTAACCTAATAGTACTCAGAAACGCTTTCCATTTATTTCTTTAAGGTGACCCATCACTTCAGATTCACTTTTGGTCAAACAAGGATGAATGTGTTGAAACATTTAAGATATAACCCCTGTAGCTCAATTCAACTCAAAACTTGCAATTCCATAAAAGTTTATGAATTTAGCAAAATAAGCCAGACCAAAAAACTTAAAAACCATATGATTTCACTCATATGTGGGATATAAACTGAAAGCAACAAATGAACAAACAAGAAAAACAAACGAAAACTCACAGACAACATATGGTGGTTATCAGAGGGTAGTAAAGAATAATGGAGGTCAAATGTATGGTGATAAAAGATGATTTGACTCTGGATGGTGGGCATACAATGCAATATACAGATTATGTATTATAGAAATGTGTGCTTGAAACCTACATAATCTTATTAGCCAATGTCACATGGATAAATTTAATAAAAAAAGACAAAAGTTTATTAATTCTGGATAAATACATTAGGTATGCTACTTTTCATGAGCCTAAAATTTGAATAACTTGTTTTTAAAAATCTGCCACAGTAGTGAACTTCTTTGAATAGATGGTTCTCCTAAATCCTAAGAGAAAATAGCATTGCTATTTGATCATAATATAAGATGTCAGGTAAAAATTTCAGAAGGGAAGATTTTCTTTTGGGAATTAGTGCTGTTTGCTCAAATCCTTTGCTATCATTATAGTAACAGTATATAATAACTTCTCTGAGAATATTTAAGACTTTTTCCTGAAAATTCTGTATATTATGGGTAGAACTATTACACTAATACTGATAACACATTTACTTTTTAAAATATCAAATATAAGATTTACATGCATAATTCTAATTGACTTTCAAACACCCAAATTCAGCTGTTCTAAATTTAGGACTATATATATAATAAACTCTTGAATGGGATTAGATCAATAGAACCCAGGAGATGAAAAGAAAAATAATCATTAGCAACGATGATATGAAAAACCTGTTTACAGCCCTAGCCAGTCTGGCTCAGTGGATAGAGTGTTGGTCTGTGGACTGAAGGGTCCCGGGTTCGATTCCAGTCAAAGGCACGAGTCCGGGTTGCGGATTTGATCCCCAGTAGGAGGCATGAAGGAGGCAGCCAAAAAATGATTCTCTCTCATCATTGATGTTGCTATCTCTTTCTCCCTCTCCCTTCCTCTCTGTAATCAATAAAAATGTATTTTTTAAAAAAACCCTACTTACTTTTCAAGAATGATTACTTTGAAAAGATTCATGCAATGAAATTGCTTTCCAAGTGTATCTATACTAATAAAAGGGTAATATGCTAATTAGACCAGACATCTTCCGAACATCCTTCTGGACGTCCTTCCGGACAAAGCCACGGTGGCGGGGGCCGAGGCAGAGGCGGTTAGGGGAGATCAGGCCGGCAGGGGAGTGTCTTTAGGTGTGATCAGGCCAGCATGCAGAGTGGTTAGGGGCGATCAGGCAGGCAGGCAGGTGAGCAGTTAGGAGCCAGCGGTCCCGGATTGCAAGAGGGATGTCCGACTACCAGTTTAAACCGGCAGTCGGACATCCCCCAAGGGGTCCCGGATTGAAGAGGGTGCAGGCTGGGCTAAGGAATCCCCTCCCCCCATGCACAGATTTTGTGCACTGGGCCTCTAGTATAAAATAAAAAAAAGAAAAAAGAATGCAGTGAAAATTCAATTAAAAATGAGATTAATTACAATTTTTCCTCTTGATTTCTCTAAGAAATGGAATCCTAACAGAAAACAGAATCTTTGGTTAATATTTTTCCCCCAACATCATTTTTACAGAAAGGCATTTTAAAATAATTATTTTTATTTTTTATTTCAATAAAAAGCAAAATCTAATAGAAAATAGCATTCTTTCATATGATAAAATTATCATAATTTTTCTAAATTAAATCTTAAGTCTATCTATTAAAAATCTTTAGAAAATATGCAGTTATAATTAAAAGTTTTATAAAAATAAAAGCTCAAAAATGTCTTAACAATACATTGATTTTATTGAATGTAAAAAACAGATTTTTAGTATTGCAGTAAAGTTCATAGGTCGATGCTCAACACTGAGCCATGCTGGCAGGGTGAGATTTCTCTATTCTTAACAAGTTGAAGTGGAAATACTTTCTATGATATAGTTTCCTCTTATTTTCCTTCTAGTATTTACAAAAAACATTGTACGGTAAACCAGGAAAGGTTAATGTTGTAAAATTAATACCTGTAATGTGTTCTTCCTACAATTGAATTTCCTTCTCTCCATTGAGCAGTCACATCAGTAGGATCAAGTATGCCTTCAAAAATATGCTCCCAGAGATACAAACCTAGTAATTACATAAACAAAACCATTTACTGTCTGATCTACTCTGGTATGTAGAATGAGCATAAGTTTTGCTCTTTTATATCATTTGATTAGGAAAACAGATTTTTGGTAATAGGGTACAGCAGCTATAGGAAACTAGAGATTATGTACTTATATATTATGAGTACCTATAAATGGGGTATAATATAACAAATATTTTAAATTCTGGAAGTGGCTTTGGAATTAGGTAATGGAAAGAAGCTGAAAGAATTCTGAGGCGTATGATTTTTAAAAAAGCCTAGATTAAATTGCCTTGAACAAATTGTAGGCAGAAATATGGATGTTACTGACTCTGCTAGTGAGAACTCAGAAAAAGTTGGGAGCACAGTAGGAAAAAATCCTATCATCTTAGGGGATACCTAAATCATAAGCAAACTGTTGGTAGAAATATGTACATTAAAAGCACTGTTGGTGAGGGTTTAGGAAATGAGTAACATGCTATTAAAAACTAGAGAAAAGTAGACCATTTATTATACAGTCATACACCACATAATGACATTTCAGTCAATGATGGACTGCATATTAGATGGTGGTCTCATACTATCTAATAAAAGACAAAGATGCTAATTGACCGTACCTTCGCTATGCCCACCAGCCAATCAGAGCGATATGCAAATTAGCCGCCAACAAAGATGGCGGCTAATTTGCATACTGTAGGCAGGGTGGGCTAGCACGAGCTGCCAGCCGGGACCCCCATGTGCCGCCTAAGTCCTGTTGCCACCCGGGACCCCTGTGTGCCGCCTAAGCCCTGCCGCCAGCCGGGACCCCTGTGTGTGGCCCTGGGCGGCGGGGCTTGGCAGTGCAATTGTGCCACCTAAGCCTCGCTGCCAGCCGGGACCCCTGTGTGCGGCCCTGGCCAGTGGGACCCCCGTGTGTGGCACTGGGCGGTGGGGCGGCCCGAGGAAGTCCTATTCTTGCAGGAATCTTCCTGCAATGGGCCTCTAGTCTCTATATATAAAAGCCTAAGCAACCAAAAGACCGAACAACCAGTGACCGGTCACTATGATGTGCACTGACCACCAGGGGGCAGAAGCTCAACACAGGAGCTGCCCCCTGATGGTCAGTGCGCTCCCACAGCCAACCTCCCATAACCGGCCAACCTCCTGTAGCCGGCCAACTTCCCATGGTCTCTCTCCCTGGCCAACTGGCCCCAATCTGGACTGGGTGAGATGGCCCCAATTGGCCCTGATAGTTGGCCAGGCCGAGAGACCCCACCCATGCGCGAATTCGTGCACCAGGCCTCTAGTAAGATTATAATGGAGCTAAAAAATTCCTGTGCCTAGCAATGTCATCAAGTCATAGTACAATGCATTACTCACGAATTTGTGGTGATGCTGGTGTAAACAAACTTGCTGTGCTGCTAGTCATAGAAAAGTATAGCACATATATTTACAGTAGTAGGATATACCATCTAGGTTTGTGTAAGTATACTCTGATGTTTGCACAAGGATGAAATCACTTAATGGCATTTCTCAGACTGTATCCCTTTGTTAAGTGGCATATTACATATAGCAGCAGAAAGCTTAGCTGAATTGTGTCCTGCAGTTGTGTGGAAAGCAGAACTTGTAAACAATAAATTTGGATATTTAGCTGAAGAGATTTCTAAGCAAAATGTTGATGCTGTGGCCCGGTTTCTTCTTATTGATTATAGTCAAACATGAGAGGACAGAGAGATTGAGGGAAAAACTGTTAAGTAAAAATGAACCAGGACTTGATGATTAGGAAATTCTCAGCCTACTCAGATTGCAAAAGAGGTGAAAATTTAGGAGATTCACTGTCGGAAAAGAATGCTCTTGAGAGGAGGCCACGGATATGACTTGATATCTTTAGGCTAGAGCCTCAGAATATAAAATGATCATACTATTTAGTCATATAGAGGGCTCTTTGAAGATATTAGATGCATAATTTATGTATCTCCTTCAGTAATCTTAACAGAAGCCAGAAACAGAGATGGGGTTGTCCAGGAAAAACCTGTGGAGGAGCTCTTTCCTAATGCAGCAAGTCCGCATGACATCACAGGAGATCCACAAGGTTCTTGAGAATGTTCTATCAGCAGAAACACTGGCAGCTTAGACTGAAGGAGACCCAGAGACGCTGAAATGAGAGGAGGCTGCTGGACTTCCAAAATCCTATCTTCAAGAAACAGGCTGGAAAACTACTGATCCGAAAATACTTGCTAACCTTCATGAAAAAAGGAAGAATGACTTCAAAGCCAGAGCTGAAAGGCCAGAAGCAAAGCTTGAGCCACAGATTATTCCCAGGCCTTGAAACCAATGGAGTTTTCCTGGTTGAATTTCAAAATTGTTTGGACCAGTGACTCAATATTACTACCATTTTCTCCCTTTTTAAGTGGGAATATCTATAACTGGTATGCTATTACTGTGCCTGCGGAATAGATTGATGAAAGTAAAATTTGATAAAACTCATCTGCCACTTTGTGCTTATTAGATTAAAAATGAAAAGTCTGGAAATAATGAAAACTTGTTAAGATGTAGACTGAATTAAAAACTAGAATGAGAAAATGGTAATTTAAAAGAAGAAATTAATATTAAAGATTTTATAAAGAAAAAAATTGTTAGAACTTGATGATTGGAGGCCTGGTTCTGGGTACCTGAAATTTAAAGATCAGTTAGTAATCTTGCATGTATATGTGCATGCAAGTGTGAATGAATTTATGAAACAACATGGGGCAGGCTTTGTCCTCTTTTACTTTCCTCTCATCTGGCACTTTCTATCCATATCCCTTACTGTATGTATAAATCCAACTCATGTTTAAAGGCCAAATAAAGCCCCTTCTAAATCACTAAATTCTTTCTGACTCTTCTAAGAATTGAGGGTTCCATTCTCTAATTGAGGGTAATATATAACTTGGAATGCTAGGCTCTCATGATACTCAGAGGAAAGTGCTTTTGTGGGCAATCAAGGTTAATCAGCTGCATACTATATCCCTTTCTTGGACACTGACAATGAATATTTGCCTATGAAAGGCTCTGAGAAATAAAAAAAAGAACCTGGTTTAACTTTGCTCAGTTCAATGTTGCCCACAACTTGTACTTGTGTATCAAGTATCGATAAACACATATTCATAAAAATTCAGTTGACACAGGCAGGTAACTATAATAATGCTTACATGACCCATTCTTTGTATCTACAAATCAACCTGTGCTCAACTAAAGACCAACAATAGAATGAGTGCATGTATTAACACAGATATTGCCTAACAGAAAGGAGAAGTAAAATACTGAAAAAAACCCCGAAAGAAATGCATCATGATACCTTTAACAAATGAATAAACTATAAATGCATTAAAATGAATGGAATATTAATAAGGTACATTTTCTGATGCTTTTTACATGTCTTGGCTCTACACATTCACTTACCAATGGCAGCTTTGCCCCAGATCTGTACTCGGAAGTCTGTTTTCCCTTTCATGGATTTATTTAATATTTGGAGACTAGTTTTAAATCTGTGTTGTTGCTCATTTTTCTCATCTCCTTCCCAAGGATTCCATTCTTCACTTCCCAAAGTAGATTGTTCTGCGTTTTAAAAACAGTAACAGTGTTCATTAGTATGGTAGAGCTGTAGCTAAATTCAAGCCATTCAAATGAGATGTTAGAGAGTTCTAATTTCACCCTAACTTCAGCTCTTCAAAGAGGTGAACTAAATTTGAACTGGATAAACGTACACATTACAAAAAGGAAATTAGAATCGAATTTCTATCAACCCTTTATTACGAAAGATCTTAGAGATAAAACTTAGCCCCAAACACAAAATTATCACTCCCAAACAAAAACCTTCTAAAGTAAGTGGATAATATGTATCAAGTTACAAGTTTAACTTGTGCAACTCTTGACTGCATATACGTAGCCTACACATAAACACTTGACTTCGAATAAAGTGTCCAACACTTTTACATACTCTTGTGCAAAATTCTGAAAAAAGGGGAGAGATGAATGTCTGTCTGCTCCTGGCACAGGCCAGGGGACCAGGATTTGGGGGTCAAGCGCCCTGGCCTTCGGAAATCACCGCGTGGTGAGAAGGCTCTCGGTTCCAATATGGAAATGGACGCACTGAGCCCCGCGGCATCCCCCAGGAGCCCGGCACACTGTGGCGGCGTCTTGGACATTGAAGAGGTTTAAAGGGGTGCGGGTCTGTCGGCTTTGGGGGCGGCAATTTGGGACGGCGTGTGGGATCCCGGCGGACCGAGGTCTCGGCGCACCCTCCATCCGCACGCCCAGGGACGGCGAAGGAGAACTGGAGGGAGCGCGGAGGAGGGGCGCCGGGCAATGCTGGACCCCGGAGCGGGATCCCGGCCTCGCGGCGTGGCTCCAACCGGCCCCCACCGCCCCGCAACCCTGCGTCGGGGCGCGCAGCCGGGACAGAGGCCACTGCGCCGGGTCCTACCTCGGCCGCGCCCCTCCCGCGCTGGGGCCGCCCCCTTCCGGAGGCCCCGCGAAGAGGCGGCCGGTGCCCGGCGGCGGCGCCCGAAAAAGACGTGGTAGGCGGCGTAGAGAGAGAAGAGGCAGTACAGGGCGATGAGAAACGAGCACAGCCGCTTCCGCGTCAGCCGCATCCCACTTGGGCTTCCTGCCAGGCCACCGCCGCCCGGGCCCGGGGCTGAGGCGACGCCGCCACTCAGGGCCGCGGCCCCAGCGGCGTCCGGTGCAGGCCCAGGCCCAGACCCAGACCCACCAGCACCTGCGGCCCGCGGCCCTGACGCCCCGCCCCACCCCCAGCCCCTCCCTCCCGCCTGCGTCCGATCCCGGCTCAGGCCACGCCCCAGCCCCGCCCACGCGTCTCCCAAGCCCCGCCTATAGCTTTCTGCCCCGCCCTCTTACAGGCCCCGCCCCTTCGGGGCGCTGAGACCGGCCAACTCTGATTCGGGAATTGTGCTTTGGAAGATCGCCCATTCCTCCCCTTGACCTCTGCAGTGCATCCACTGTGCCTTACACCTGCTCACCTTCCCTTGTACATAAAGACAGCACCCACCGTGGTCCTTGAAGATCATGTCAGTTTTGAACATGTAATCCCCAGAGTTCAGCATAGGGCCTGCAGCAGTGACAGATGAATGAATATAAATGTTCATTAAAAAAATTAAAAAAATTAAATGGCGATAGAGGCAAACATTGTGAATGTGATTAATGCCACTAAGAATGGCGAACTTTATGATATATATCTTAACATATATGAAGCTATTTTTAAAAGTCAACTTTCATTTCTATGATGTGACTTGCAGTCTTTTGTCAAATAGAGGTGGTCAAATTGAATGTTGCCAGTAAACTTTCTATGTCAAGCCTTGTGAAGTTGGGCTACAATTTTTTTTTGCCAATTGTGTCCAGTACCTTTCAACTTGAAGGCAGTCTTGGTAGCCAGGGAGCAAGTGGGACAGATGTGGAGTAGGCCATCAGAGCCTTCAGTTGCTGTGCCCGGACTGACTCAACTCTCTGCCCTGATGCAAAGCCCTCCATTTTTTTGGATAAAGTTTCCATCCCCTCCATTAGCAAAAATTTACTTTTCCTGAATTTGATGCTCTGGTCTATGTCTTCCAAAGGACATTATAGATAATTTGATAAGGAAAATTTTATGACTGGAAGGAAATTTAAGTCCAGAGAGGTGACTTGACCCAAACTGTGTACTTCGTTAGTGACTGTGCTGCATCTGTTCTGAGTTCTGTGTTCTTGACATTTTATAGTAGCTGGGTCCTTGCTCCTCATCTCATCCTGTGTTTTGTTGTTGTTTGTTTGCTTAACAATATCAGATACTGCCCTACCGGTTTGGCTCAGTGGATAGAGCGTCGGCCTGCGGACTGAAGGGTCCCGGGTTCGATTCCAGTCAAGGGCATGTACCTTGGTTGCAGGCACAACCCCAGTGGGGGGTGTGCCGGAGGCAGCTGGTCGATGTTTCTCTCTCATCGATGTTTCTAACTCTCTATCCCTCTCCCTTCCTCTCTGTAAAAAATCAATAAAATATATTTTTTTTAAAAAAAACCAATATCAGATACTGATAATCAGATATTACATATTTGGTGAAGTTTTCTTCCTTGTCTACAAAAAAAAAAGAACTATCAATTATTAGGGTCTGATATTGATAAGCCCTGATGCCTTCAGTTTGTTGCCTGAAAACAGTACACATTTACTAGAAGTCCACAAGTACAAATTTCTTGGGATACCTGGCCAAAATTCTTTCCTAAGTTTATCAAGGTTTCAGTAATACTCAAGAAATGTGTTAACCACTTTGAAAGATTTTTCATAGCTTGGCCGGGAACCTTTGTTTCAAACTCTTTGTTAGCTACTTTCAGTAGGGGTTGGCCATCTAACAACCAATAAGTCATTAACTATAGCTCTATTAAATTTATAAAAATCATTCCAATAAGATGCAATTATCTTTTCTATGTAAGTATGATGGTGACAAAAATAAGTAAAGAAATTACAGAAATTTATTAACATTGGGAAATAGTAAGCAAATTGTAATTTTTAAAAAAAATACATATTTTTATTGATTTCAGAGAGAAGACTGAGAGGGAGAGAAGGAAACATCAATGATGACAGAGAATCATTGATTGGCTGCCTCCTGCACACCCCCTACTAGAGATAGAGCCTGCAACCCAGGCATGTGCCCTAACCAGGAATCAAACTGTGACCTCCTGGTTCATAGGTCAGTGCTCAACCACTGAGCAACACTGGCTGGGCAGAGTTTATTCTTATATTATTTATTAATTATTGTATTAGTTATTTGTATTATAACTATAAACTTATTTTGCCCAGTCTTGTATACCTATACAGGGTGTCCCCCCAAAATGTATATATACTATAACAGCTGATAGCTCAATTTTGAAAATGATATATATTTTAATAAACACTGCCTTTACAATTATTCAAAGTATGTGTATACATTTTTTGGACACCCTATATATACACACACATCATTTGTAATTAATTTGAAAATATAAATCATCATAAAACAACATACTTTCTTGTCCCTGTGCTAATCAATGTTGGACCAAATTATACTTTCCTGGTTTTGCCTACCCAGGCCAATCTAGCTTAGCTACTTGGTCCTAGAAATAATTGTTCCTGGAGGTTAAGATTGTAAGCCAATTAAAATAACTTACTTATCAAGAACATGCTTCAAGATCCTAGTGTCACTGTGTTCATCCATTCAACACTGTTATGTAATAAACTTTACCCAATCCCCAACCAGTTCCCTGCCCTCCACGACACACCTCAAAATCACCTAGCCCAGGACCTAAAACCCTATATGTGTCTTGTTTTGAGTTTCCTCTTCTGAGACATTACTCAGTCTCTACCAAGGTTGTGTCCTCCCCCACTGCAGTGACTCTCATAATTTATTGATGGATAGTTTTCATTGGTATTCTTTTTGGGAACTCAGAACTTACAAACACTGTTATCATCACTGTTGGTATTTGTTATATTTGAATGTTTGTCACTTGTTCTTGTGATTTCATTGGGTAAAGGTCATTATTTTTTTCCTGAGGCAGTTTCATTTGTCCTGAGTAAAGGACAAGTGGAAATTGCCCAGGGTTGGGAAGTGTCTTTAGAAAGTGAGTTTTGTTTTTAATTGAGTTTTAATAGAGTAGGACCTATTTTCCTTTCATTTTATTGAAGTATAACATATAATGGATATATTTCTTAAAGTATATGAAATGTAACCTCCCTATAAAAGGACAATATCATAAGTATACAGCTTCATATATTTTCAGAAAGTGAACCCCTTTCTGTAACTCTCACTGAGATCAACAGACATTACCAACACCTTACAAGCTAGCTTTGAGCCCTATTCCAGTCAATACCAACCCCATCTTGCACAAGAGTAATCACCATTCTGTCTTTTTTTTCCTTTTAGGATTAGAGTTAAATTCAGAGATTAGGTTTAAGGTTAGGTTAGATTAGGGTTATGTGTAGGGAGGGTTAGGTGTAGGAATAGGTTCAAGGTCTGGGTTACTATAGTCTTATACCACCATATCTTTTAACACTGTTGGTTAGGTCTGTTTTTATATAAACTTTATATCATTTTCTGAATCGCGTCTTTCATTCAACATTGCATTTGTGAGGTTCACCCATATTTGTGTGTGGTGCTATTGATCATTCTCATTGCTGTATTTCAACGTGAGAAGACAACACAATATTTTTATCTGGACTAATTTAATATTATTTTAGTCTTTGGTTCTTGTTCTAAGCAGGGCTTTTACATTTGGATCTCACATATGTGACTATAGCAGGCTTTAGATTTTTACTTTTCTGGGTAACTTTGCTTTTCTTCCAAGTTTCTGAGCAGCCAATAAGCTAATTCACAGCTTTCTAGGACTAATGGGCAGAATTTCACAATTTTTTCTATAGCTAAAACAGACTGAAATTCTAGATTTTGCTCTACTCCTTTGCTTCACACAGGACTGAAGTTGTATCTCCTGTTCTGTAGAAACATGTCTGATATATATTAGTTAAAACTATTCTCTTTTCATTGTGAAAGAGAGTATTAAATTATCCTCTTTATCATATTATTTTTTATTTAAACTCTGTTTTCTCTGAATTGGTATTTCACTCTCAGCTTTCTTTTTGTTTACAATTTAAATAGTCTATTCCTTTGCTTTTACCTTTTTTGGTCTTATTTTACTTTACTGGTAGGTTTGTTTCTCAGGTACCATATAGTTGGTTTTTACTTTTTAACTAGTATTTACCTCTCATTATGGGATCTTAAACCTCTTCTGTATGTGGCGATCATTGCTATATTAGTATCTTCTGTGCATCTTTACTATTTTTAAAAAATATTTTGCTGCCTGGTGGTGTGGCTCAGGGGTTGAGTGTCAACCTATGAACCAGGAGATCTCAGGTTTTATTTCCAGTCAGGGCACATGTCCAGGTTGCAGGCTTGATCCTCAGTGTGGGATGTGCAGGAGGCTGCTGATCAATGATTCTCTCTCATCATTGGTGTTTCCATCTCTCCCTCTCTCTTCCTCTCTCTGAAATCAATAAAAGTATATAAAAATATTTTGCTATATGAATTTTCTGTTTTAAAAATCATGTTGTATTGATTTCAGAGAGAGGGAGAGATAGAAATATCAATGAAGAGATGTGGGAGAGAGAGAAAGAGAGAAATATCAATTGGTTACCTCCTGTGTGCACCCAACTGGGGATTGAAACCACAACCTGGGTATATGCCTTGACCTTGACCAGGAATTGAACAGGTGACCTGTTGGTGAACAGGACAACATTCAACCAATGGAGCCACATTGGCCAGGGCTATATGCATTTTCTTTAATCTGCTTTTGTCTTCTCCAGTAATTTGGGAGGAATTCTGTAACTATTTTAATTAATTTTATAATAGTTTTTGTAAGTGTTTTTTA